TTTATTCTTAATATTTATATATATTTTTCTTTTTTTCAATAAAAACCTTTACATAATCTTCATGCACAAAGACCCAGGAATGGCACCTGTCAGCCCTGTCACAGTGTCTGTGACAGCCCCCACATCAGCTATCTCAGGCCAGCACCTGGGGTTCCCCATGGCTGGCAGCAATGCAGGGAAGGCCTCTGCCTGCTTCAAAAGCCCAGCTCCCTGCCTTGCCTGATGACAGTCCCACCTTCCAGAAGGATAAATGAAGGATGGTAAATGCTGAGGGCCTAGAATGGAGGGAATCAGGAGGGCACCCCAACCTACCATTTTTTATCTAAGCTTTTTAGACAACTCTAGACAGGTTTCCCGGAAAGATGACTGAAGAGAAGCAAACCAAGTTCTGGAAGTTTCCCAGAGACAAGTGATGTATGACTCATGTCTGTTGCACATGGCAGTAGGGAAGGCATGGTATTCGAAGATCATCCAAGGCAGGAAAAAACACAAGCCTTGAAGACTGATCCCTCCATGGTATATGCTCCTCTCTACCCTGAATGTGTTGGAAAGACCCTGTACCTGTTCTCTTTGCTCAGTCCAATGCTCTTCTGACTCCAAAATCAGTTAACCAACCAATTTACTTGAGAAGAAAATTCCCCTCTTGAGCACAGTTGGCCTATGCGAAGGACATCCTAGGTGCATACACTTGTCCCATGTGCTTTACTCCTTAGTCCTCGTACCAAATGTAGTAGGGCTAGGGCAGTAAGTCGGCACAGAGGACAACATCCAGAATGCTGAGGATGGAAAAGAATTCCCTGGTTCTTTGGGAGATTCTGCCAAAGGAGCTTTATTGACCATTTTGAAAAGAAAAAAAGTGGTCTCGAGGATGGTAAAAGGAAACATCTCCTTTTTTGGTTCCAGAAGCCCTTGTGGTATGTTCAGTATTAAGAAAAGCCCTGAACAATTAGAGGGTGCTGCTTTGGGCAGCAGGAAAGGAGAGTGTCTTCCACAGCCAACTGAGAATGGCAAAACGTGGCAGTCAAAACAATGCTGGCAACCATTCTGTGCTGAGTGTGAGCAGCCTCTGAGGGTGGCAGGAGAAGCCTGGGGCTCACTGGCTCCCAACAGCCAGTTCTCGAAGGTAAGACTGTGTGAGGCTGCTCATTTCCTCCAAGGCATAGTCCTCAGGCATGGGGAGTCGGCCAATGTGGGGAGCCAACAGGCGCAACGGAACTCGCTGAGGGTCTGGTGTGGCATCCGGAGTGGCATCAGGGGCATGCCTTAGGCTCAGTACCACCCGCAACAAGTTGGCTATACGTTTGGCCATATCTAGAGAGAAAAAGTACAATGAACACTGAGGAATGGGTTGGGGAAGAGAGGCACTGAAGTAAGTGGGATGGCTGAGAGAGCTTACCTGACTGAGCCAGGCGGTCCTTGGCACTGTGACACTGGATCTGCTCTATCCGGCTGCACAGAGAAGTCACTTTGGTGTTTAACTGCTCTAGTTCATAACTCGAACATTCCTCCTTTTAAGAAGCAAAGAGACAGATCAGGCCAAGAGAAAACCCTACTGTTCAATCCTCGCTAAACTGATTTTAAGCAGTGGTGAACAAGCCAGGCATGGCAGCTCGTACTTGTAATCACTACTACTCAGGCTACTGAAGCAGGGGCATCCCAAGTTTGAGCCTAAAATAAGCAACTTAGTGAAATCCCACCTCAAAATAAAATGGGCTCGGGTGGGCCAAATAGCTCAGTGGATTAAAGTGCCTGCAAGCAGGCACAGGGACCAGAGGTTCAATTCTCCAGGCCTGCCATGCCGGCCCCCCTGCCGTGCCGGCCCCTGGGGCACACTGAGACTGCAACTGAGACTGCGTGTGGTGGCGTGTGCTTGTAATCCCAGCTTTTGGGAGGTTGTAAACAGGTGGATCACTACAAGTCCGGATCTAGTAGTGAGACCCTGAACACCCTTGTAGACCCTTCCCTAAAACATGAAATACATAAATAAAATAAACAAAAAATTAAAATAAAATAAAAAGGGTTCAAAGTGTTACTGGGTGGTACAACACACCTAAGTTCAATTCTCAACACTGTAAAGCAAAATCTAAAACACAAAAGCCAGTGGTAGCATCTTGAGGCCTTTGCTGTCATGAAACTTAAGAAAGTGCCTGATAGTAACAAACCTTGAAGGATCTAGCTATGCAGATAATTAAAACAGGTTGATATGGCAGAGAGAAACTGGGACCACTGCAGACTGATGGGTCAGGAGAAACCTCTTTGGGGAGGCCATGTCTAACCTGAGACATGGAATGAAAGGGCCAAGTTTTCCAGGCAAAAAGAATACCAACTTCTGTTAAGGTAGGAAGTTTATATGGTAAAATGTGGGGTAAAAAGGGTAACAATAAGATAAAAAGGGAGGGGTTTTTAACTAAAAGTCATTGTTTCATTAAATTATGAATGTCAATGTCCACTGCACTTTGACTTAGTAATGGGTGCTGCTGTACAGACAGTACTCGTGGTTTAATCCTTATACTCATTTTGTAGTAACTGGTGGTTCATTTGTATATAGCTCCTGCATCAAAGTATTACTCTGCTAAGTACAGAATACTTTTTTTGGGGAGGTGCCTTTTTGAGATGGGGTCTGTTTAAGTAGTTCAGCCTGGTCTCAAACTCAAGGTAATCTTCTTGCCTCAGCCTCCCAAGTGCTGAGATTATAGGTGTGTGCCACCACACCTGGCAAGAATACATATTATTTACCTTTGTATTCCCCAAATCCAACACTGTGTTTGGCAAATGTTGGGTTCTCAATAAGTAGGTTGTGTAGATAAACAGATCAATACTCAGTTAGGAAAGGGTTTCTTCGGTGATTATTTAGAAAGGATGCTTTTAGTTCTTCCTAAAAGCACAACAAACATAAAGCATGCCTATTATGTACTCAGCACTGCAACAGTAGGCCTCTGATGAGGATAACAGATAACAATGATCAAGCATTTAGTATATGTAAGGCAGTGTGCTACTTTATGTATATTTTGTCTAATCTTTAAGAAACCCTGTAACTCTGTACTAAAATTGGTGCCACTATTGAATACATCTTTTGCTTGACTGTTCAGATGAGACAGAGGTTAGTAAACTCACTCAAGGTTACAGAGCTAGTGAATGTGGGGGACATAAATAGCATCTGACAGTCTAATTTAAAATTTCACCTCTTATGGCTGGGAATGGTGGCACAAGCTTGTAATCCCCCGACTCAGGAGGCTGAGGCAGGAGTATTGTTGTGAGTTTGAGATCAGCCTGGGCTACCGAGTTCAAGGCCAGCTTGAACTGCATAATGAGACCCTGCCCCAAAAAGATGAAAGAAAAAAACAAACAAAAAACAACCAAAAAACAAAAGTTTCAGCTCTTAACCTCTATATTTAACTGGTTTTAACCTTGCAGTAGAAAAGACTTCTCCAAAAGGAGCTGATGGCAACCCAGACTTAAATACAATATTGTCAACAAATACTGTAGTAGAAAAGGGTATCAAGTGTTTCAGCAGTAAGAAAAATATCACCAAATCTAATCTGCATGCCTCCCCGAATCCTTGCTCTTGGTTTGGTCTAGAGCTATACACTGAGTGGTCGAGGATGCCCTGCTATGGGCTGGCTTTGATTCTGAAAGCCACGCAGTGACAAGACTGCTGTTGCTGCACAACACACAATGCAAGCTCTGTTGGACAGAGGAGCCATTGTGTGGCTGTAGTACTTGGAAAAACCCAGTGAGCGAACACTTCCTTGTAAGATCTTTGACCATAGCAGCACGGGAGGCTGGTGTTTCCTGGTGGATTTTTATGCACCAACAGCCACCATGAGAGCTTAGTGGAGTACTTGTCTCAGGACACTGATGTAGACAGACCAAAGGTCATAAAGTGCTCTCTGACCCAGGCAGTGGAAGAGTGAGAGTGAAGGCACTATTTCCAGGTCCAGTTGAAGAAAAATTATATTCCCAAAGAGGAGGAAGCTCTGAGAAGAACCACTGGGTTGTTTCTTTTTCATACCAGGGATCAAACGCAGGATTTTGTGTTTGCCAGGCAGGCCCTTAAGCCACTGAGCTATCTTGCTGGGCTGAACCACGGGGCAATAGTCATGTGTTTACTTCTCTCACACCAGAGCAGCATTGAAAATTATTTTACAAGTGTGGCTTTAGTCAAGAACTGTGTTGCAGGTGCTGTTTAAATTTTCTAAGATGCTTTAATTTTGATCACCTTTGGTACAAGAGGTGATCGAGTTGCTGGCTGAGATCTGGTCTGTAATCTGGTACTGCAGGTCATTTCTTTTTTTTTTTTTTTTTCATTTCTGATTTTGTTGTTATTAGTGTAATTTCTTAATGTGGACTTCGTCCTTAAACCAGTAACACTGTTTTGAAAAACAAACATAAAACTGCCTTGGCTTGCAAGTAAGTTGTTCAGACTGAATAACCATGCAAAAATAAAAATGGAAGCTCCCTGGGGTATATGGTTTTTTTTTTTTTTTTAAATGTATTTGGTACAGGGTCTCACTATGCAGCTCAGACTCCCCAGTGTTGGAATTACAGGCATGTGCCACCATGCCTGGTCTCAGTGGCTGGCTCAGCATACCCAGAGCAGGGCCAGGGATTGAACCCTGGTCCCTATGCTTGCCTAAGCAGGTGCTTAGTCCACTGATCTATCTCACCAGCCTTTTATAGGTAACTTTTGATCAATGTACTAAACATGATTTCTAAACAAATACAAAGGAAAGAAAAGTACAGTTCACAATTTTTGAGGAGAAAAGAAAGAAAAGTAGAGCTAAAGCAATTTAGACCTTGAAATATCAGGACAAGTGTGTCAGAGAAAAGTAGCATACTTGAAATATTCCAGGTAATTTAGTATAAGTAGAAAAAGCTGGCAAGGCTGAGATGTACTGTAAAAGTGGTAGGAGTTAAGGTAAGAATGAAAAGTAAATGCCTACAATCTGAACCATATGCTTTCTGTGCTAAAGGTAAGCAACAAGGACCCATTTTATGGCTGTCCAGACTGACTTAAAGACATTTTAATAAAAACTTAAAAACCGTATTATTTTTATTCTGAAACATGTCGGACATGTGAAACAATTATCCTCACCCTCACCCAATCCCTGATTTTACTGCAATGCCTGAAATTATTGCTGGATGAACACTACAGTAATCCTCAAGAATAGCTACTGCATATACCAGCTGGTGAATAAACTCAGAAGTTTATTGGTTTTATGTTTTCATCTTTTGGTGGTCCTGAGACTCGAACCCAAAGCTATCACAAAGTTGCCCAGGATAGCCATACTTCCGAGGTTCCTGCCTTAGCCTCCCACGTTGCTGGGAATATGGGTGTGTGCTACCATGCCCAAAAGTTAAGTTTTGATACAGCTGTCAAACTTGTTGTATCAGCGTGAAGTCCTGCGTTTCATCCCCAGCACAACACTCTCCTCTTCGCGCGCTCGCTCTCGCTCTCCCTCTCGCTCTCTCTCTCTCTCTCTCCCTCTCTCTCTTCTCCCCCCCCCCCCAGGCCTTTTGGAATCTTAGCTTTAAGGGCCTGGGAAAAATAAAACCAGGTATTGCCTAAGGAATTTAGGTACCTGCTGAATGCGGCGGAGTATTTCAATTACTTGAATATAGTCTAGGTAAACAAGGCCAGATGTTTCCCAATCCTGAATTACACTGCTGCGCTCTGGAGGTGCCAGGTCTTCCAGGAACCCCTTCAGGTAGTCATAGTTCTCATTAATGATGGCATCTGGAGAAACAAAATATTGAGCACAAAGTCTGTGTAAAGTGCATGGTTTCCTGAGGTGTAGAGAACCTGGCAGAAATCTAAGATAGGAAGGAAGGAAAAACAATGTTGGATTAGACTTGAGATTTACAAGCACATAGTGTGAAATTCTTCAAAGGAAACGTGAAGAACTTTAGGCTTCAGATCCCCAAGCTGTATTTCTTGTGTTGCTAGATAAAATTTCCGTAAGTAAAGAGTAATATAATTAGTCACATCAAGGAGATTTCTCGAAAACAGTTATTTCTGATTCTGCTGTCTTCCCTTGCCCTCTAGCCCCTCATCCTGGCCAAGGCTTTTCTTCAGACAGCTCTTGAAAAGGATGTGCTATCCTAAGAATCATTTCTGGCTTGACCCATCACAGGAGTGCAGAAGTTAGAAGAATTTGGGTGACTCCAGCACTCACCAGAAGCTAAGTGTCGGATGACGAGTTTGTGGCAGTGGTTCCAGTGACCAGCTTTAAACAGGTAGAGGGCTTCCAAGTGCATATCAGACTCCATGTGTGCACGCACTGCTTTGGCCTCATGAATCCACTCAGCAGGCACACACAGCTTCTGTGTAAGGAAAGTCTCCTTAGCCCAAGATTCAGGGGTCTCCAGCAGCTGGCAGTGCCGGGTAAGCAGCTCTCGAACAGCCTTCTCACGGATGCTTTAGGAAGAAAGAAGCTGGACTGAGCACCATCCTGTGCCTGGTCGAAGGCTGCTGCAGATAGCTGAGGGGCCCCTGGGGCAGCCTCCGGAACAGCAGGTCTTGATCCTTACAAGATCACTTCAAACTCGACAAAAACCCCCAAAGCTGATTATTGGATTATTCAAGATTTTTAAGTCTTCTTAAATGGGTTTCTCTTATACAAAAAATTCATTCTCATTTGCATTTATTCTCTCTCCCCCTCTCTCACCATACAGATATTATTTCCAAAAACCTTTAAGATAAATGCTGATTTTTATTTATGCTACAGTTTCTTACATTCACTGAAAAGTTTTGCCCTTTTACACTTTGTATGTTCTCGGTGAGAATCTTCTGTCTAGGACTTGTATTCTGAGTAACATTATGTCACACTCTGAGTAACATTATGGCATTATATGCTATCTCTGGATGAAAGCTCCTCAGAGTCCTTTTCTGTCTGTGCCAAAGAAACAAACATTCTAAATTCAGATCAAAACTATGTTTTTCAAAGATTCCTTATTACTGCTACTTCTTTTTCTATATTCTTTTTTTAGGAAACAGGATCTACTTTTCCACAGCCAACTCTGAAATACCTGTCACCCTATTAGCCAGATTTGACCACAGAAAATCCTTCCTTAGTGTTAAAGTAAACGCCTTCTCATGGATGCTTTAGGAAGAAAGAAGCTGGACTTTCTTTTAAGGGGAAGGTGAAGAGAGGCTGGTTTAACAGCTATTCCAGATGCTTTACAGTCCTTCACCTCACAATCACCTAGCATTTTAATTTTACAGGTATGAAAACTAAGGCCTAACATAGTGACTAATGAGCAAATGTTTGTTGAACTCTACCTTGGTGTGCTCATCTGTAAAGCAGAGACTATAAGGGTGTATATTTTACAGCGAGCAGAAAATGAGAATGTAGTAAACTACTCACAATGTAAACGTATGTAAAACCGCTGATAACAAAGTACTATATATGTTTGTTTGTTATTATCTTTATTACTGTTTTAAGACAGATATTACTGTGTAGCCCAGGCTGGCCCTGACCATATAGCAGTCTTCCTGCCTTGGCTTTCAGAGTGCTGGGACCACAGGTGTGTGCCACCATACTTGGCTGATTCTTTAACTCTTAACTCTAGTCGTTCCCTGATTACTACAGTCCAAAGCTCTCTTTCCCCTCTTCAGATTACTGAGGGGCCTTGTGATGAATATAACTTGATACATAATGAAAAAAAGTAGTATGCTTAACTGTTTCAGATATTTGAGAGTCAGTCTGGGCTGAGTACCTATATGTCTTGACTGTTATCCCACGACTTGATCTAATACACATTCTAAACTATTACTTGTTGAATTGAACCCTAAGAAACTGTGATACCTTTGACATAATTCTGTAGATACAGACAGTGGGTTCAATGGTCCCTTACCTGGAATTGTCAATGTGCAGGAAGACAAAGATGGCCCACTCCCAGAGCCCCTCACTTTCCAGCTGGGCAGCATAACTGGCGTGGAGCACACCCTCACTTGGCTTTTCGAGGTGGTTATAGTTAAGAGTCCGTAGCACCTCCCACAGGTGCCAGCTTAGGCGGTAGTCCAAAGGGTCTGCAGTCACACTTCGAGGTTCCAGAAGCTGATCGAGATCATACTTTCTGCAAGGAAGGGTTGAAAATTACCACTGCCAGCTAGCAGATCACTAACACTGAAAAAAATCAAGCATTCTAGCTGTCTCAGAAGACAGTTAAGGAACTGGACGGCAAAACCATGATTTTGAGACACATTTTCACTAAGCTGACTAGGCTTCAAGGTCCTTCTGTCTCAGCCTTCCAAGTAGCCAGAATTACAAATGTGTACCATTGTGCCTGGATGTAAGTTCTTTTTCAGCTTCCAATCATATTTTATATTTATATTTTAGGTACATATAATGATCATATTCATCAAAGAATCTGTACCTTGATAAAACCTTGATTCTTTTTTCCCCATGCCCTCCTTTCAACACCTCTTGCCCTCTCTATTTACAAAAGCTTTGTTTCCATATTTTCCTTGTTTTCTCATTTAAAAAAAACAACAAAAACTTTCCCCTTCTTTCTCCCTCCCCTTTCCTTGTTTTCACCCCATTCGAACATTTTCTGTTTCACAATATATCTAATATATATTTGGGTCCTTATTTACATTTCTGGTTTCTCATACCAGAGAAAGAATGTGGTATTTACACATGTGCTTCCAATTTATTTCACTTAAGCGTCTTGAGGTGCATCCATTTACCTAAGAATATCTCAAGCTTAGCCTTCTTTATGGCAGAATAGACTCCACTGTATAAATAAATCACATTTTCTTTATCCATTCACAAGTTGATGGCATTTGGGCTGTTTCCAAGATTTGGCTATTACAAATTGTGCTGCTGGAATCATGGGTGTGCAGCAGTGGTATGATGCATTTAGTTATTTATTTTTTTTGAGACAGTCTTGCTATGCAGTTTGGGCTGGCCTTGTGCTTACTTTTGTAGCCCCCAGGATGGTCTCCAACTTGCAGAGATCCTCCTGTCTCAACCTCCTGAGATCTGGGATTACAGGCCTGTGCCACCATGCCTAATTCTGGGGCCTCACAGTGGGTGTCTGCATCCAGGGCTGAGATAGCATGCTGGGGCATCTGAGACCGAGACCAGTTTTCATGTGGGGCCCGGGATCTTAGCTTGGGTTCTTGTGCTTGCCAGTAGGTGTGTATTCCTCTGAGCTATCTCCCCAGCCATGCTTATTCTACTGAGCCATCTCCCTGGCCCCGATGCTTTTAATTCTTTTGGAGAGATACCCAGAATGAGAATAGTTAGTTTGAATGGAACCTCTAGTCCTAGGTTATTGAGGAATCTATAGTCTGATTTCTACAATGGTTGCACCAGTCTACATTCTCACAAACAGAGGAAAAGGGTCCCTTTTCCCCCACTGGTATGCCAGCATTTGTTTTTGGTTGATTTCTTGGTGATAGCCATTCTTTCTGGGGTAAGACAGATTGTCAGCACTGTTTTAATTTGCATTTCACAAATGACCAGTGATGTTGAACATTTTTTCATATGCTTATTTCCTATTGCTACTTTTTCATCTGAAAGGTGTTCATTCATTTCAAATGCCCATTTTTGGATTTGGTCTTTAAATTTGGGGGTTCTGATTTTTTCCAAGTTCTTTATATCTTGCAGAAAGTAATCCTTTGTCTGAGCAACAGTGGGCAAACGTTTTTTTCCCACACTGAGGGTTGTCTCTTCACTCTGTTGGTGGTTTTTCTTGCTATGTAAAAGCTCATCTTACTAAAGATAAGATCCCAGGTGTTGATTCTCTGTGACAGTGTCTGCACAAGCAGGGTTTTGTTCATGAAGTCTCTGCCTACACCAGTGTCTTCTGTAATTTTTCTTAACCACATCAAAACACAGCTGCCTTAGTCTCTTTCAGATCTATTATCTGAAGCTGTTGGGTGCTCATCTGCTTGAACAGCTAATTATTCTTCATAAAGGTTATTTTTTCTTGTTTTGTAATTTTTACCTCGGATTTCCCTGCTGAGATGTTTGTTTTCTTTCCTGCTAAGACCAAGATATTTTTTTGGTCCTGGGCTAATAAATTCCTACTTTGCAATTCACAGATACCATAGCAGTATAAACTAAGACCCCACACCTGCAAGGTTTTAAGATCTGGGGCTTAGATTATTAACCAAAATCCTATCTCAAAACACTAAGTTTTCCTTTTCACCTCAGACACTGTACAATCTCAACACTTCCCTTGTAATGAATGAAGTTTGTTTAGACCAGTACTTACAAACAAAACATTATGGGACAAAGGACAATCTGCCTTGGTCAGTTTCACTGCAGATGTAGTTACAGTGAAGGATTTTAAAAAATTTAAATTTAAGCTGTGGATATAGCTCAGTGCCACAGCAAAGTCCTGCCTTTGATACCTGGTATCTAAATAAATAAATAAATGAATAAAGTAATTTAAACAGCCATATGTGAATAGTGGGTTATTCTACAGATAGGTGCTTTTTTTTGAATTGCTGTTAAGGGACAGGGTATCTTTTCGTTTCATTTTATTCCACTTTGTCAGGAATTTTTATCACCAAAAACAACAGAATGTAATAAGTAAACAGTATAAATATTATATATTCAGGAGGATTTTAAATTTTAATTAAAGTGTAACCTTATATTTTTCTTTGTGTCTTTTATTTTGGTGGCTTTATTTTATTGCTGTATTTTAGATACACATAAAGATAACGTTCATAGTGGGAAATTATACCATCTATCTTTTTTGCTAATGTGTCTGTTCCTACCTTTTGGTCAGTGGGTATATTGGGGCTTAAACCCAGGGTCTTGTGCTTGCTAGGCAAATATTGTCACCCTAGACTACAGCCCTAGCTCAGTTATCGCCTCCAGCACAGCACGGAGCAGGGGGGACTGAACCCTGGCTGCTATGCTCTGCTTAAGCAGGTGCTTTAGTTGGCTGAGCTATCTGGCCGGCCCTGCTTAGTTTTCAAAGAACTGGCCAAATAGTATTCCAAAGTGGCTACACCATTTGACAGCTTTTCATCTTTAGTGTATGACAATTCCAATTGTTCCATATGCATGAAAACACTCGGAAACTGGGTGTGACAGGACATGCGTAATCTCAGCACCCAGGAGACTGATGAAGGAGGATCCCTACAAGTTCAAGGCCTGCTTCAGCTCTGTGGAGAATTCAAGGCCAGCTTGGGCTCCACAGCAAAATCCTATCTCAAAACACTAAGAAACTACTCTGGTACTAGGGCTCTTTTAAAATTTCAGCCATTTTAACAGGTGGGTACTATCTTATGATGGTTTTAATTTTCTTTTTATTTTTTTTTATTCATTTATTTATTTGGTGCAGGGTCTCATTATGCAGCTCAGAATCATAGTGATTCTCCTGTCTCAGCCTCCCCAGCACTGAGATAACAGGTGTGTGCCACCATGCCCAGTTTTGGAGGTGGCACAGTGTACCCTGGAGTTCCAGGACCAGCACAGCATGTGATACTGGAGATCAATCCCGGGTCCTTGCATTTGCCAGGCAGGTGCTTACACTGCCAAGCTATCTCCCCAATCCTTCTGATGAATTTAAATGTGCAATTCTCTATCTGTTAATGCTGAGCATTTTTTAACATGTTTATCTAATCTCTGGGTCTTCTCTGATGAAACATCTGTTTATATATTTTATCCAATTCTTAAATGGGTTTTCTTATTAACTACTAGAATACTTTATATGGATCATATATTACATTATCAGAAATATGACTCAAAAGAATTTGGGCCAGGGAGATAGCTCAGTGGGATAAGCACCTGGCCTGGCAAGTGCAGGGT